CCTCCTCGGCAGTCCTCCTCCTTCCTCCTTCTGTCCTCCTCCTCCTCCTCCTCGGCGATCCTCCTTCTCTCCTCCTCTCCCTCCTCCGCCTCCTCCTCATCGATCCTCCCCCTTCCTCCTTCCTGCTTCTTTCTCCTCCTCCTCCTCCTCCTCCTCGATGATCCTCCTTCTCTTCTTCTCCTCCTCCTCCTCGGTGATGCTCCTTCCTCCTCCTCCTCCTCCTCGCCTCCTCCTCCTCCTCTTCCTCCTCCTCCGCGTCTTTCTCCTCTGCCGCCTCCTCCTTCTTCCTCCTCCTCGCTGATCCTTCTTCCTCCTCCTCGGCGATACTCCTCCTTCCTCCTCTCCTTCTCTCCTCCTCCTCCTCCTCCTCCTCCTCCTCGATTGGATAACAGTTTCTTTTTTTTTTTATCGATTGATTGATTGATTGATTAAGTGATTGATTGATTGATTGATTGATTGATTGATTGATTGATTGATTGATTGATTGATTTGCAAGGAATATGAGTGTGAACGATATACAGAAAGCCTAGTTGCGAAATCACAGAGATGTCCAAGTAATCGTGTGCAAGCAGAGAGCACATAAGCGCCGAGAATCCATCCGAATAGACCAATACAATGAAGTAATGCGCCAATGTTCAAGCCCTCAGGTCACACCAACACAGTATCCAAAGTCGCTCCCCTCTGCTCAACCTCCTCCTCCCTCCTCCTGCTTAGCAATCCTCAATCCTCCTCTGCGATCCTCCTCCTTCCTCCTTCTCTCTTGCTCCTCCTCCTCCTCGGCGATCCCCCTTCCTCCGCCTCGGCGGTCCTCCTCCTTCCTCCTTCTCTCCTCCTCCTCCTCCTCCTCCGTGATGCTCCTTCTCTCCTCCTCTCCCTCCTCCACCTCCTCGTCGATCCTCCTCCTTCCTCCTCCTTCCTCCTTCTTTCTCCTCCTCCTCCTCCTCCTCCTCCTCGGCGATCCTCCTTCTCTTCTCCTCCTCCTCCTCCTCGACGATGCTCCTTCCTCCTCCTCCTCCTCCTCGACGATGCTCCTTCCTCCTCCTCCTCCTCCTCGCCTCCTCCTCCTTTTCCTCCTCCTCCGCCTCCTCCTCCTTTGCCGCCTCCTCCTTCTTCCTCCTCCTCGCCGATCCTTCTTCCTCCTCCTCGGCGATCCTCCTCCTTCCTCCTCTCCTTCTCTCCTCCTCCTCCTGCTCCCCCTCCTCGGCCCTTTCCTCCTCCTCGCATTCCAACCAATCACGCGTTCGGCCCCATACCACCCGGATCAAATTTTTTTTTTTTTTTTCGTCAATCGATCGGAAAAAAAAAAAAAAAAAAGTTTGAAAAGCACCATCGGATAAATCAATCAATCAATCAGTTAATCGAAAACAAAAAGGAGAAATTGTTATCCAATCGAATCGATTGATGCAACTGGATTTTGATTTCGAAAAGCAAGATCCAATCGAATCAATCGATTCGATTGGATAACAAATTTTTTTATTTTTTTTTTCGATTGATTGATTGATTGATTGATTGATTGATTGATTGATTGATTGATTTGCAAGGAATATGAGTGTGAACGATATACAGAAAGCCTAGGTGCGAAATCACACATATGTCCAAGTAGTCGTGTGCAAGCAGAGAGCACACAAACGTTGAGAATCAATCAATCAATCAAGTAATGAGCCAATGTTCAAGCCCTCAGGCCACACCAACACAGTATCCAAAGTCGCTCCCCTCTGCTCGACCTCCTCCTCCCTCCTCCTCCTCGGCGATCCTCCATCCTTCTCGACGATCCTCCTCCTTCCTCCTTCTCTCCTCCTCCTCCTCCTCCTCCTCCTCCTCGGCGATCCTCCTTCCTCCTCCTCCCCCTCCTCCTCGCCTCGTCCTCCATTTCCTCCTCCTCCGTCTCCTCCTCCTCCTCCGCCTCCTCCTCCTTCCTCCTCCTTCTCGTCGATCCTCCTTCCTCCTCCTCCTCCTCGGGGATCCTCCTTCCTCCTCCTCCTCCTCGCCTCCTCCTCCTCTTCCTCCTCCTCCGCCTCCTCCTCCTTCCTCCACCTCCTTGGCGATCATCCTTCCTCCTCCTTGGCAATCCTCCTCCTTCCTCCTTCTCTCCTCCTCCTCCTCCTCGGTGATGCTCCTTCTCTCCTCCACTTCCTCCTCCGCCTCCTTCTCGTCGATCCTCCTCCTTCCTCCTTCCCCTCCTCCTCCTGCTCGGCGATCCTCCTTCTCTCCTCCTCCTCCTCCTCCTCGGCGATCCTCCTTCCTCCTCGTCCTCCTCCTCCTCGTCGTCCTCCTCCTCCTCCTCCTCCTCCTCCTCCTGCTCCTCCTGCTCCTCCTCCTCCTGCTCCTCCTCCTGCTCCTCCTGCTCCTCCTGCTCCTCCTCCTCCTCTTCCTCGTATTGCACATCTTCTTTTTCATCCTTCTCCCCCTCTTCCTCTTCCTCTTCCTCTTCCTCCTCCTCCTCGTCTTCTACTTCGTCTCCTCCTCCTCCTCCTCCTCCTCCTCTTCCTCCTCCTCCTCC